AGGTGCTGTCGATGGCGCTGCTGTAGAGGGGGCTGACGAGGGAGCCGCTGAAGGAGGCCATCGGGGTCTCGAAGTCGGGAAAATCGCTCCCCGTGTCGGAGTGGGGTTTTGTCCCCAGGTCGCCGGAGGTCTCGAGTCCTCGCGAACTCTGCGGGGAGAGCGTCCTCGACGATGCAGGCCATCCGCGATTTCTTGTCGTAGTTGTTGGGCAACCTCAGATTTATCCCACGATTCGTAGTCATAGTACCGAAGGAAGTTTGTGCCGAAGTTGAACTTGCGCATCTCGGCGGAACGGAAAGTGGTCATCGAGTCCATGATCCACTCACGAGCCTGTGCTCGGTTGACCTGTTCGATGATTCCGTTCTTCGACGAGTAATGATAAGGTGGTTCACCTCGACGATTCTGTCGCTGTACGACGAAAGCCTGTCTCATAGCTTCGTCGAAAGTATGGCCATGTTGATTCCAGCACGTATTGTGGTACTCGCAGCATCCCTGGAACCATTTGTGGCATATGAGGTTGGGCACTACCCACTGTTTGTTCAGGAAATCGGGGTGAAGAAAACCACAATTGGCCATGTTACAGTTCTTCTTCTCGAGAAGGCGGGGGCAAAGCTGTCGTCGTATCTCGGAGATGGGTACTTGGGCCGTGTCGCTGACTACTTCGGGGTACTCGTTAAGCATCGACTCAGGAACAGGGGCCGTCATCTTCACCAACGTGCCCTCGCAGAGAAAATCGAACCAAGAGTCGGCTCGGGTACGTGCCATGGCTACGAATTGGCTAATCCAAATCGATGGTAATCGAGGTAGTGGGCTTGAGATGCCCTTCGAAGTTCCGCTTTCGAGCTTTAGAGGCAGCGGGTTCGGGAGTATGTAATTCCATGCCAAAATCATCACGAAAAATGTCTGCCAAATGCTGATTATGCAGATCGGTCTCATGCACAAGAAGAGCAGCATCGGTGTCAGCTGGTAGGGGTGCATGATCGGAGTCGGGGTGTAGGGAAGCCTCGACGATCTCGAACGGCACCGTCAGCGGCTCCGCGGACTCGTCGCGGTTGGTGATGTGCAGGTACAGGAAGGCCTCGAGGTTGGGCGGTTTCAGCAAAGTCGCCGCAAGATTGACAATGTCGTTCGCCGTCTGACACTGGGCGATGTGATCGAGTGCCTTTCGTATTTGTCGGGATTGTCGCTTGTTCCAAGCTCCCCACGTCACATCCTCGGGTTTCTCGACTTGAAAATCTTCGAGAACTTGCTCGCGGCTGAATTCCTCGAGCGATTCCTTCAGACTGTCAACAACTGACAGAGAAGCCGTAGTGCTCGAGGTACTGGCCGCCAGCAGCGGTCGTAGTAGTGCTCGGGATACTGGCCGCCCGGGCGGCTATGACCGAGGAGTGATCCGAGGGGACTGAAACAAAATTTGCTCAAGCTGTAACAGCTTGAGCCAAAATGGCCACGGAGTATACAATCATTCGACATGAATCGGTGAGTCAATCCCCTGACCGATTCGGTGTTTAAGTGAGATATGAAGTTGTCACTTCGCACAAACAAGTGTGTGCTACACAACAAGGTGTAAGGGTCCGTTTTAGGGGCCCATACTTCTAACCTTACAACAGTGCAAGTTGCGGTTCCTTGATGCCTATGGCACGGCCCTTGTAAAACAAGCGCTCAGCCAATTCCCATGAGGCACCTGCTGCTTAGGGGGGTTTTGCGGCTTTCCTTTTTGGAATTTCCTGACCGTCCTAGGCTACCCAGAGACTCCAATATCCCTTAGCCAAGAAATATTCCTTAAATCATATTAGGGATCCATCTGTAATTTAAGATATATTCCTGAACTGAGGGATATTGGAGTCTCTGGGTGGCGCCCCCGCGTAATGTAGAGCTTGTGAGTCTGGCACTTGTGCTCCTGATTGTGACATCCTGACTTGAACCAGCGGATTGGGCATCAAGGTTTAGGAAGCATGGCACCAAACCCTACGCCCTAACCCCGCCAAAGCTGACCTATGTACCCTAAACCCTTAAGGTCGTGCGGTTGTTATGGTCGTCGCAGTGCTCTATCTCAGTCTGGGGGGATCGACGCTTGCACTATGAAGACAGTGACCTGCTACGTAGGCTGGCTTCCGGGGTATGTTGCAGGATTGCTGATGCCGGCTTTGCCTGTTTACGGCCTCAGGGGTGCATAGATAAACGTTGTTTTCTCCATCTGGGTGCTTGTCTAACTTGTTCTTACCCAGCCTCATTGCTAAAACGCGTATCTCATGACCCTGCGCTTGAAACCACAAACCTTTGCAGCGGCTGAACATTGGATCAAGGCTTACTGTTTAGAGTTTAGGGCTTAGGGTTTAGGGTTTAGGGCTTAGGGTTTAGGGTTCCATCGTCCCGCCTGGGATGTTGTACACTGCCACTCGTGCAACATAGCCCTCCGCATCCTCGAGGGGGAATGTGCAAGAGCCACTGAACAGAGGCTCTTCGCAAACCTCAGTTCTCTAGACCTAAGAGTAACTTAGGACTAAAAAGGGTGCCCTGTTTGGTTTAAGAGGGTTTATCAGGGAACCTGAACCCCAAAAAGGGAATAAGGGCCTACTCTGGGTCCTAGTTCTTCAAACTAGACAGTTACTGAAAGGCTCTCTTGCAGCTAGGTCGAAAATTCTGCTTAGCCTAGACCCGAGACCCTAAACCGTAACAGCGATTTCTAAACAGCCGAGGCGCAGTACCTTCTAAAATGAAGCCCCGGTGAGTGACATTCAGCTCCAACTCCGCGACGGTTATCGGGGCCAGTGCTATTGACGTCTGCAAGGGCGGCTTGATGTCCCAACTTTGGCTCATCGTGACGACGTGCATGTTGGGATTCGTGCCTGCGGCGATGAGAGCTTGCGATGGGTACCTATGGCCTCTCCAAGATCGACTGCGACGTCGACAGGAGCAAACCAACCTGGCGACCTCAACCCGAAGTTTCAAACTTTAAACCGAAGTCCCGAAAGAGTAAATACCAAGACCTAACCCTAAACCCTAAACCCTAAATCCGTGAATCAAGGAACCTCAGCCTCAAAACCTAATATCAACACCGCAACAGCGCAAGCAATGTCAGGCACGAATCCCGTCGCCTCCCATCTGCTTGAACTGCCTCCTCGCTTCCCGATGTCGTTGCCTGTCGGACCGGTATCTCAACCCCACGTCCTAAAGTAGCAAATCCGAACCGCCCTGAGCCAAAGCACCTCAAGATTTCGGGGTCCGGCAGTGGTGGCAAGCTGGGTCCCATTCCCATGGGGCCCATCGGACCCATGGGGCCCATAGCGCCCATGGGGCCCATAGAGCCCATGGGGCCCATAGGGCCCATCATCTCCTGCGTAGGCTTCATGTTGCAGGTTTAGAAGTCATGTAGGGTTCAGGATTAGTGTTTAGCAGTCGTGCAGGTTACTTGGCCAATGTGCCAGGAAGAGCTCTTTGGCATTATATTAGTCGGGAATAATACAGGGGCATTAATAACTAGAATAGGGTTTTGGGGCCCATTATTATACTATAACTATAATAGCGAGGACCCCCCCCCTCCAAAAAAACAACGTATACAGTATAGGCAATTATTACGTAATGCCCCTAGACCCTAAATCCCTAAATCCTAAACCCTGAACCCTAACCCTAAACCCTTATGGATCCCTTTGAAGGAACCCTAAACCCTGAACTCCAAAGGCTCAGTACACAATTGTAGTACCCATATAGATCCCTTATAGTAACCCTTATAATAAACCCTGAACCCCTGGAACCCTGAACCCCAAAATACACTGCACCCGGATACCGTATAGCTATTTATGAACGCCCCTAAACCCTAAATCCTAAACCCTGAACCCTACACTTCCTAAACCCTGAACTCCAAAAGCTCAGTATAGTACACTCAGATCCCTTACAGCAACCCTTATAATAAACCCCTAAACCCTAAACCCCCAAAACCCTAAACCCCCTGAACCCTGAACTCCAAAAGCTCAGTCAAGCACACTGCCCCCCCCCCCCCCCCCCCCCAAACCCTAACCCCCTAACCCTAAACCCTAAACCCTAAACCCCCCCCCCCCCCCCCGGGCAAGCCCATGATCTCCTGCTGAATCCTTTGCCGCTCCTCCGCGGGCAGAGAGGCAAAAAACTCCATGACCTTCCTTGGCATTCGAGGTTCTTCAGGATTCCTTTAAAGGGATGTATCAGAGTTCCTTTACAGGGGTCTATAAGGATTCCTTTAAAGGGATCTATCAGAGCTCCTTTAAAGGGGTCTATCAGAGTTCCTTTAAAGGGGTCTATATGTGCCCGCGCTCCGCGTTCTCGACCCCCCCCCCCCAGTTAGGCGACACCTCGCCCCAAAAATTTATGGAACCATTTCGCCAACTCGGTGCCCAAATCTCAAGCCCAAAATTCCCGAAACCATATTCCCGAAAATCCTTAGCCCAAATCTCAAGCCCAAAATTCCCGAAACCCATATGCCAAAACCCCGTTATACCCATATGCCAAATCTCAAGCCCAAAATTCCCGAAACCATATTCCCGAAAATCCTTAGCCCAAATCTCAAGCCCAAAATTCCCGAAACCCATATGCCAAAACCCCGTTATACCCATATGCCAAATATCAAGCCCAAAAATCCCGAAACCAAATCCCCGTTATTCTTTAGCCCAAAATCCCAAGCCCAAAATCCCAAGCCGTAAATCCCCGTAAAACCATATTCCCAAAATCCCAAGCCTAAACCCAAGAAAAAACACCTTCCCCCATAAATCCCCGTTATTCCTCAGCCCGTAAACCCAAGCCGTAAACCCAAGAATAACAATATGCCTAATACTGGGGCAAGCTCCCTTTTGCGCTTATCTGGGCAACATCATCTACGACAACGTCATCATCGGAAGGTCGGCTTTGCTCGCTTATTCCGATGCGAGTATTTGATTGAAGCAAGTTGTGGTAGTATGTTCGCGAATACTTGAAGCATTTACCGCAGTCAATACTTCTCGAGTGTTTCAGTTCGCATTCCTTCCGAAATGTCGGGCGAAGAAGAAGACTTCACAACGTTGGTTCGCTACATTGGCGGAGACAGAAGCCAAGAGATGGGTGTGAATCACCCAGTTCAGAACACTGTCGAGCAGTTTCTTGAGCTTGTGAAAAGCAGGCTGTTTCCGAAAGAGATGTTTGCCAACGACACCCTTGTCGCAGTCTTCAATGGTAACATCTTGGACAACACCGACACAATCTATCGCAAGGCCGAAATCTATGTTATAGATGCGTCGCGGATGGATGACCGCTTCTTTGTCAATGCGCTTCGTTATGAGAACTTTGAGCACTTCATGGTGCCGTATGGCATTGATATGAAGTTCCTTGTTGTTTTCGGTGAGGACATCGAAGCCCTTGAGTTTGACATGACGCGAAAGGTAATTACCTTTCGTAAGCAGGCGCTTCAGTTGTTCTTGGGTCGCGACCCATCTACAACCGAGCTTGATTTCTACCGCTTCAACTTCTTCGTGGAGGACAACAACACCGGAAACACAACCGAGCATCTGCTTGAACGTGCAGATGATAGGCGCCCCATGCGGACTTTTGTCGATGGTCTTGCAGACAGACATTTGTTTCGCAAGGTGGTGATTGAGGTCAATGCCCCACAGTGAAAGACACTGTAGTATGTTCCTTTCGAAGTGATGCCAACAAACGAGTAGTAGTTTAACACGAGCCCCTAAGTGCCTTAAAAGCCCTTAGCTTGTTGGAAACTCTTCGCTACGATGCTTTGGAGAAGCATCTACTTGACCCAATACTTGCTGTGATGTGCAGGCTTGAGCAAAAAATCAGAAGCTTGAGTATTGCGCGTGTTGTGTGTCTTGAGCGTCTTGAGCTTGGTTGAGCCACAACATGATACATTCCGAGGCATTTTGACACTTAAAGCTCGGGTTTCTTAGCCTTCCCTTGTTGTAGAAGCCATGGGTTCTTCAAAGCGTCAAGCAGACGCTTCCGCTTCTTCTTCAAAAACCCAGAAGATGGATGATAAGAAGATTGAGCTCAACGGCAAAATCAACGGTCTTCTTGGGGTCATTCCTCCCTCGGTTCCTCATGCGGATGAGCTCGGCAACTTGGTCAATCTGATGCGTAACAATTCCGAGAAATGGGTTTCATCAACCATTGAAGCGATGGACATGAAACAGTTTGAGAAGCTCTACGAAACTTATTGGAGTTGTTCATATTCCGATGTTTCCCGCGTTTCCGAAGCCATCGCGAAGGACGTCATTCCGCTCTACCAGAAGTTCAATGACATCATCGTTCAAGCAAACAACGCTATCAAGATAGCAAACAATGCGAAAGGTTTGATGGAAGCACTGCTTACTCACGCTTACCTTTGTGAGTTTGGCGGTAAAGCCAACGTCGATCATTCGACTTTCGAAGAAATGATGGAACAAAAGCTGAAGAAGATTGAGAAGGAAAAGGACGCACATGAACAACATCGACTACATCTTCAAAAGATGATTGAGATGAAGCTCCCACAAGAAGTTTTGCGAAGGTTTGCTACTGAAATGGGCGTCTCGCTTGACGATGTCATTGTAAATATGGCAGTAGATGAAGACCTTTAAGAGCCCTAAATTTAGGCAGACCCCGCCTAAAATTTAGGCAGACCTTCCGCCTAAAATTTAGGCAAACCCCCCGCCTAAAATTTAGGCAGACCCCTCGCCTAAATACTTAGGTGGTAAAAAAATGCTCTATTTTAGGCTAAAAATCCCTAATTTAGGCAGAACCCCCGCCTAAAATTTAGGCAGACCCCTCGCCTAAAATTTAGGCAGACCCCTCGCCTAAAATTTAGGCAGACCCCTCGCCTAAATAACAAATCCCCTAATTTTAGGTAAAGCTTTTAAGATGGGCGGAGTTGCACGACAATAGCGTCGTGTTTTTGACTTCGCGTAGCTTGTATAGGCGCTTTATACTCTGTCCTGTATTCGACTTAATTGTTACGCCATCAAGTGCGTAACATAAACAAGAGAATTAGGCATGAAAAAAAGCCTTGCGTGGCTTTTGCTACCATCCTAAACCCCAAACCCCATAAATAAAAAAATCAAAGCATATAGTATTTAGAAAAATACGGGTCGCTATAAAACTATAGGCAAACCCCATACAAAATACAATAAAAATCACGAAAATAATAATATGATAGACCGCGAAAAAATAGAATCAATAGTCCCCAACTTAGCCCGATGCACTTTTTTAATCAATAAAGAAACTTTTCACTAAAGACGTGGCAGGTCGACTTCTACACGAACGGCATTGGCGACAACAACTTCGACGCTTCGGTGCGCCCTCCTCTCGGGTTTTGGGTTTTAGTTTTGGGTTTTTTAGTTTCGGGTTTTTTAGTTTCGGGTTGTTTGTGGTTTCGTCCCTAAAACCCTAATGTTTGGCTCGAGTGTTGGCTCAAACTGCGAAAAATCCCTAAAACCCTAAATAGGGGTTTAGCGTTCGGGGCTTTTGTGGTTGCGTCCCCTAAAACCCTAAACTTTGGCTCAAACCGGCTCAAACATTCTCACACTTTTAAAAGCTCGTGACGCAAATAACCGCGTCTATTGATATAATAATGCTTTTGTTCCAATACCGTTTTAATATCATCAATACTATATGAATTCGCGCTCCAATTGCTAACGCGTTCCTTATCCAATTTATCTTTTTTCTTAAATATCTTGACTTTGTCGCCTTTCTCTAACTCGGGATACTTTCGGGTTTTTGTTGCATTCATTGCGATGTTAGCCTTAACTTTGAGTTCGTTTTCGGGTTTTCGTGCTTCTTTTGGTGTTAAATCTGTTGCTGAATGAACCATTTTGTTATTATATGTTATCATTATCTCAAAAATATAATCTATCCATTGAATATTTGCTTTACCCTTTTTCTCATCCGCTTCAACTCTCTTAAATAACATATCCTTAAGGGTGCGCACAAACCTTTCCGCGAATGCTGGATGTGTTCGGGTTCTGTGTATTTCTATTTTTTGACTTTCAATATATTCTTTTATAACATTACTGTTTAAACTACCCTCGTCATCTGAATAAATGAGTTCTGGCTTTTTGCCCATTTTGTTTATTCCTTCTATTATTCCCGCTAATACGTCGTCTTGTAGCTTACTTTTAATCGGAACAACGACCGCAAATTTACTAAAAATGTCTATTACTACCATACCAATTCTAAACTTTTGATTCTCCAAATCATTATTTGTAATAAAAAATAAGTCTATTTGATATTCATAATGTGCATAAGGAGCAATAAACGAATTAAATCCTGACATTGGTCTTTTCCTATCCACATTCTTTTCAAACCATGCTTTAACATCCGCTAACGTAATACTCTTATCCTTAGCCTTAGCATCTTTAAAAGTGGTGGCTTGTGACCCAAATCCGCTTCTATCAAAATAGATATCGGATATTATCTTATCTTTATTAGAACTACTCATAATAATAAAGATGAGATTTAAATATTATTATTGTTCTGTTCGTTACCTTGCACAACAATTACACATAACACACATGCTATTACAATTGCTTATATAATGTGCTTTCTCATTGTCAAGCCTATTAGCTGTTAAATTGGTAGTGAGCTTGTGGTCAACCCTTTCAACTATAAAGGGTTCATTGCAATCGGTGCATCTGTTTTTTAATTGACTCTTGAGCCACTCAACATTTACATAGTCCTCTTCATTTATTGGGCGTCCTGCTTCTATATCTTGTGATTTGTATTGTTTAACCTTTTGGTCAAAATACCTTTCAATCTCTGATTGCTTAATGTCTCTTGTTATCTCATGTTTGTAAAACCTGATTTTGTTTAAATCCTTGGCTCTTGTGATTGCTGTATAAAGCCACTCTTTCGAAACGTAATTATACATCCAATCGTAAATAATAACATCGCCATCTATTGAACATCCCTGTTTACTATGACATGTGTAACACGACGCATAAATAAAATTTTGTCTCAACTTCTTTAGGCTTATTTCTTGTTGTAACCTTGTAGCCTCATTTAGAAGCGTTATCATATTCTTTTTTATTTCCGTTATTTTGAACTTAAGATTAACATTAAATTTAGATATCCAGTATCTCGTATAAACACGACAAATAACTTCATCACCTACGACATATTCTTCTTCTATACCTCTTTCTTTTCTAATATGTTGCGATACTTTTCTACATGTTTCGTTGGTGTATGCTACGTTATTATCAATGAGTTCTATCTCTTCTGTGTATTTAAAATACTTCTCAATAATCTGTTTAATTGTCATATCTGTTTTAAAAATATCGTGATAAATATTTTTTAATTTGATTCTGTCTTCCGCGTTGGTTAATCTCTTGCATTCTTCTAAATAAATGTAATGTTTAAAAATTTGCTTTATACAACTGTCTAAGTATGTCCTATAATCTTGCGTGTTGGTTATATCCACAACGCCCTGTAATTGATGTTCGTCTCCCGTTGCTACAATAATTTTATCGGGATTCTTTTCTACAAATGTTTTTATTCTTGCTAAAACTGGAATACTGTTAAAATAAATTTCGTCAAAAACGATAACATCATAAAAGGAATGGTCAAAATCTTTCAGTTTTTCTTCGCCGACTTGGATAGAAAAGAATGTATTAATGGTTACTGCTTCTACTCCGCATTCTTGATTTAAATTGTTAGTCGGTGTTACGAACAATATGTTTTTGTCTTGTATCTGCTTTGGTATATGCGACTTGCCCGACCCTGCGAATAAAGCTTTAATTAAAACGTGCTTGTGTTCGAGAACTTTCTCAACCGCTTCTTTGCTATCCCATTCGTCTTTTAACATAATTCTTTCATTAACAACTTCGGGTATTTCTATTGATTCGTTCTGTTTCATCTCATAATCTCGATGAGGGAAGCCGAAGTTATTTAAAACGCCTTTCCAATCGCCGATGTCTTTACCAAACTTCAATAACTTCATAGCCTTTTGTAAATTCTTCCTTAATATTGTGAAGGCATCTGTTTTAACGCTAAATACTTCTATGTCATTTTCTCGTAGTGTGTTATAATCCTTGTATATTCTGTAATTATGGTATTGGAGTAAAAGCTCCTTAATGTAACGATAACCATTTTTCAACACGGCACGGTCTTCAACATTTAGAACGTAATATTTTCCTTTGTTTTTTGTATCTTCGTCTGGTGCTTCTTCTTCATTATCACTATCATAATCGCTATCATCCTCGCTATTAACTTCTTCTTCTTCTTCTTTCTCGAACTGCTTGATAATATTAATCCGACCTCCATACATGTATTGATATAACTGAGCTTCGCGTAAGTCCTTGAATAAAACCGATTTCTGAGCCGTTGTTACTCCCTTCTCTAACAAGCCGATATTTACATTTGCTATTTGTTTTTTAAGTTTGGTGTCTTCTTGGGTATCATCTGAGATACGAGTTTCTACTAATTCCTTAACAATCTTTTTATAATCACAATTATATATAAAGGAAGGCTTCTTATAATACGTAATGGTGATATCATCATTCAGGACATTTTTTAGAAACTTTCCGTAACAAAGGCAGAACCGCTTGTTGAAGAACAGATTAGCCTTATACACTTCCACAGTGTATAAGACTAAATCCTCAATTTCCTCGCCATTGTATTTTATCCATTTGTCAAATTGGTTAGATACTGGTATTTTTTTCATTTTTGTTAGGGCGTGTGTAAATGCTTTTGTCATATCTATCTCGCATGCATTCTTATGAGAAGGCTCTATAAAATGATGATATTCTTGATTTTCAACTTTGCCCGTCATTTGGTTAAACTTTTCGCGATATTCAATGTGTCGGTATGTGTCTTGAATCTTACCACTTGGCACAATTGTTCGGTATTCGTCTAATATATCAATGTCGGTATCTGTATAAAAGGATTTATGCAAAGGATTGAACAAAGCCTTATTAAAATTGAACATCGCCTTGTTCATATTGTTGAATGTTGTCTCACATTTGACTCTAACGCTTCCGTCTATAGAAGAAGGAATTAAATTTTGTGTAGCTATTATATAAGTGTTCTTCATAAATCTTAATTTTATTTGACTAATTGTTCCCGCTTCATATCTTATTTTAGGTTCATAACCCGATTCCACTATATCACACAACACACCGATTAAATCATTTTTGGAATGAATGAGTTTATACTCTTTTTCACTTTGTGGTTTTTTGCCTTTGATTTCTTCTTCTGTTGGTTGATGTAGTTTAATAATGTCATCAATCTTATCGAAGATTATATATTCACTTGGTTCTTCAGACTTGTTTAAATGAAAATCGATAGGGGCTCTCACCTTTAAACACATGTAGTCTCTCCCCTTATGTTGTTGTAAGCTGGATAAGTTAAAATTCATAACGTAAATATGGTTATTCTTAACAAGACCATAAAAGGCTCTGATTTTTTTATTGACATGTTCTGTTTTATGAATGCAATTCCCTATGATGTCAAAAATTCTCACAGGAATAGTAAAATGGTCGAAGACAACCTCCATATCTTCAATCGAAGCGCCGTTTTTATTAAACTCTTCTTCGTTCATCTTCAATACATCTAATATCTTCTCTCTTGTTAATTGATTCTTTTTTCTCGGACAATCTTTATAATGTTCTACCAATGCATTTACCCAACATTCGTTCTCGATATAATCGTTTCTTGCGATAGCCTCTTTGATTGTGGAAGCGTTGGGGTTAAATGCCGTTTCGATATATTCGTGATACATGCTTACATTCTCGGCATTCTTAAGCTTTTCCTTTTTTTGTTCTCTTTTCCCGTCTCCGTCTTCAATCTCTTCTATACCTAAAATCTTAACGGCGTCAATGTAGTCTTTGCGGTTATGATATAATTCATGAACCTTTGGGTCGTTTTCTAATATAGTCTTAATGTCTTCTAATAAATTGTTGTCGTAATAGTTTACACTTTTTCTTGATTTTCTATATTTTCTTTCTACGGGGCCTGTGCTACCGGTCGGTTCTGCAATTAAGTAATTGTTAATAATTTTGTCTGGTATATTTGGCTTAGAAGTTTGGCTAATCGACGCTTGTCTCACCTCGTGGTTTATCCATGCGAAAGCTCTGTTATAATCGTCATAAAACGCAACAAGGTCTGGCGAGGCTGTCTCACGGTCTAAAATCGTATAAAACAAAAAGTCGATTAAATAACGTTTCTTTTTTTGTTTCCGTTTGGTCTCTTCTTTTGCACTTGCCATTCTTTTATTCAGTGGTTCGTTTTCCTTCCATTTGTCAATATTTTCCTTGTATTGTGTTAATGCTTTTTGGTATTCTGCGGGCTTTGGTGACAAAAGCCCTTTAATTAATTTTTGTGCTGTTGTGTTTTGGGTAATCTTGCGTTCTTCGAAGAGTCTAATAACTTCATTAACTTTTTTCTGTTTCGTTTTGTTTAGTTTTTGTGTTTCTTCGTTTAATGTTTTGGTGTAATTTTTCGCATCAATGCGTAAATTACGTAAGTGATTTTTTATAATCTTGCTCGTCATACTATAGCCTATATATTAATTTATATGCTCTACTTCCCTTTAAGCACCTTTGGGTAGCGTTCTTTCTTGACCGAGTGCCGTTATAAAGCAACTTAATATAATTACTACACTATATTAAGTAGCTTTGTTTTTTGGGCATCCTATTACCTTCTTTTGTTGGAAGGCTTGACATCTCAATGTGTTGTGATGTTTCTGTAGCTTGGTTTTCTGAATAAGTTTTGAACAATATTCGCACTCAACTCGACACATTATATTTTCGCGGTAGTATTTTTTAAAATATTCTGGGTCAGATGGTTTATTATTATATGTCCCGTCGGCATTTCTTCGCCATGGGGCACTCTTCCTTTGCTTGACTTTTTCTTCGTGTGTTTCTTCTGTGCTTGTTTCTTCTACGATTTCTGGCTCGGGGGTCATTACGGCTTAAGTAGTAACGTGGTAAGCCTTTAAGTGTATTTCATTTTTTTACTCTTTAAATGCTTTTATGAGCTTACTGATTGAACTGATGCCCTTGAGCTTCTCCTGCTTCGAATATACTCGATGGTTTCTTGCGAACGTCTTGAACTTATCACGCTTTGGGGTGGGGTTGCTTCATCAACACATTCGATAGTTCTGTCGGAACTTTCAACTGTTTCGGGTTGCGACGAATTAATGTATTCGCTTAATGCTTCTTCTTCAACAGGCAACAATACGCTTCTGTTTGAACTTCTACGCGAACTCGATGATGCCGAAGAAGGTTCATAAGACTTTTTAACATTCATAGGCAAACTATTTTCGCTTTCTTCCGTTTGTTGTTTTTCTACAGATTGTTCATTCTCTTCTTCTTCTTGTTCGATTTGTTGCCTTCGGTTTTGCATTTCTTCTCTTTCTTCCTTAAATTCATCATCTGCAAACACACCGTCGTAAATTCTTTGCATTATTGATTTCTTTTGCGTTCTTTCTCTTTCGTCTTCTTGTTGGTTTTCAGTTATGTTTTCGCTTTCAGCTCCTTCTTCTATCCGTTCCTTAATTTCTTCTTCTGGTGTTTTCATACTTTCGTTTTCTGTTTCGTTGAATACATCCGTTTGAGTTCCTTTCTCTGGGTTATTATCATTTAACATTATCGTTTTTCTATCGTATTTGCTTAAATCAAAATCGTCAAAATCAACCTCGTCTAATAATATCCCTTGCTGTGTTCTTCTTTGACGTTCTGGCAATATTCTTAATCTGCTTGTTCTCGCTTCCCTTTCAATTTGTTCAAATGTTGGGCGTAATCTTAACATATATATATATATATATATTACTACTTGATATTTTAAACTGGCAAAAAGGATTTTGCTAACGCTGTTGCACCTGCTTTTGCTAATGTTTCAACTCCTGCCTTTGCTCCGCTTATGGCAATATCTTTTATTGTGCTTGAAGACGATGATTGCGAAGGAACTAATGCCCCTAAACCCTAAACCCTAAACCCTAAACCCTAAACCCTAAACCCTAAACCCTAAACCCTAAACCCTAAACCCTAAACCCTAAACCCTAAACCCTAAACCCTAAACCCTAAACCCTAAACCCTAAACCCTTACCCTTGCCTTTCTTCATTTCTCGCCATTCTACCATTCTCTTTTGTAATAATTGGTCGTTGACTTGGTCAGTCCATCTGCCCGTTTGTATTAATCTATCTATATAATTTATTAAATAATCTTTTCTTGTTTGATTTCTTCCTTTTCCTTTTACTTTAAGTTTTGATATTTCTTCTTCTTGTTCAGGTGTTAATTCTATTCCTCTCAAGAATAACTGGAATCTGATGTCTTCTTCTTGAACGCTTTTGTCTTGCCATTTTGTTATTTTTGTTGAGTAATCTATAGTTTCTTTATGTTTTCTCGCTTGGGCTGGTGCTTTTGTTGTTTCGTCATCATCGGCTGGAATTAATTCTGGGTCATCGTCAAATTCTTCTTCTTCCTCCTCTCCTTCTTCTATATCTTCTCCTTCTTCTTTTTCTTCATCATCCATAACACCAACGGGTAAAGATTGCCTATGTGCTTCATCTAAATCAGTCGATGCTCTCGCGCCCGATTGTCTGAGTCTCTCTTCTTGCATTTGTGTATATCTTTGCAATTCCATAGATAACGCGTCCATTTGTTCATTGGTTAATTCTCTTACTGACGGCGCTGTATCAAATGACATTGGGGTCGATGTTCCGCTCGCACGTGCATTTAACATTCCTACCGACGTCCCCGTTGCTATTGCCGTTTGTCTCAATTGTGTTTGTCGTTGTTCTTGTTTTAACTTGTCTTCTTCTTGTTTCTTCAGTCCCAAAAAATCAACATTATCAAATTGACTACCGAACTGATTGTTACGAAATATTGTAGCTCTTCTATCAATTATTTTCTCTATTGGTGGTCTGTTAGGGTCGCCTTGGCTTTCAATCATACAGACTAATTCATCGTATGTTGGACGTAATTTTAATTCAGATTTTAACGTTTTAATCATTAATATTATTATTATAGATTTAAATTATTTCTTTCATTATAGTTTTTAATTCGTTTTGACGTTTCTCAAGTTCCTCCTTTGTTCTTACTGGCATCATTGGACGTTCTAACTGTCTGTTAATATCATCTAACTGACCTTGATAAAGTGATTGTTTTTGATGTTTCACCCAATCATTCCGTAACGCAACATTCTTAGCTCTGTTTTCGGCTTCTTCTATTCTTAATTTCATATCTTCGAGTTCTTTCTTTCGGCTTGCTACACCGATTGTATCTTCAATATCATACGTCTGTTCAACCATAGGCATACGCTTAAACTCTGGTTTGCTCTTATACATACTCATTATTAATAATATTAGATTAAAAATATTATTAATAATTTATTAAAACATACTCGTTTTAAATCTTGCTATTTTTTCGGCTTTTTCTTGTTGTTTTAACTTCTTCATTTCGTTGTATGATTGTTGTAATAACTCACTTGCTGTTAATTGGCGTTGCGGTGGTGGTTCTGGCGATTTCATAACAACGGGTTTAGCTTTAGTTTTAACTTCAATGGGCTCGGAATATTGAACTACTTCGTTTGTTGTATTTTGTGCGTTTTTATCGTTTTCTTTGTTTTGATATTTGCTTTTCATTTCTTCCTCTATTTCTTTTCTTAGTTGTTCTTTTAGTTTAGACCAATATGAATTTTGTTGTTTATTAACCGGTAAAGTTTCCGAAGGCTGACCTTTACAATTTCTCGGATGCGAATGTTTTAGACTCTTGGGTAACATTTTTTTGTTACAGTCGGGACACTCAACCATCTCTACGACCTTTACTGTTCTGGGTAATTTCTTCGCCGTTGCTTTCGGTTTCGGTTTCTCTTCCGCGCGTTCTTGCTTTGCTTCTTCGTGCTTTGCTTCCTCTTGTTGAATTTCTGGTGTTGGTTGGGGTTCGGTAGCTTCTTCAATAATATTCTCTACCACCTTTTCGTTCGCTTCTTCATTTTGACTTTCTTGAACTTCGTTATTAATGGTTTCCATATATTCTATATAGAAAATTTATATGTTATTTTAACCTCTTAAAAATGTAAGCGTGAATGATATGTCTATCCCATTCAAATTTACAACTTGGTTAAGATTGTTGGTTAATCGAAAATTTAATCTTCTCAAGTATTTGTTAGAGACATCAATGTAATCAAAATTGCTTAATTCATTATCATTTATTATTCCTAAATAGGGGACTGTTACATTAATCTTTTTAATGATACTTGAATTACCCGCTACTGTTAATTGGTTAAAGTTGCTAATTTCATTACATTGTAAATATAAACTCTTAAAGGGAACCAAATCGATAAAATTAGTAATGTAAGGAACAAGATTAGTATAAGCGTCGGGTGCAGGTGTTGTATTACCCATTACACGATTAATTGAATTTAGATTATTAACATCAACATCGTCTAAAAACGAACCAACGAACGGCGCAACTTCGCCATCTGTTAAGACAACGAATATAACCTCAGAATAATTAACGGCAATTCTAATTTTGTTAGTTGTTGCATTATACCTTACTGTGTATGTATTGGGTCTATCAACTGTATCAAAATAATTATTTAATTGTGTTTCTAATTCGGTTGTTAATTCGGATGCGGTATAATTACCTTCGGGGATTGGTATTTTACGATAAATTGCACCAGACGGAATAGCCGGCGGTAATACTTGATGTCTGAAATATAAATTATTATTTGTGTTATTTATTGAATACCACGAATGCGGAATACTTACCTCGTGTATTTGACATAACATATTATCTTCCAACTGTACAGTTTCAGGTAAGTCTATTGTAAATTCGGATGAAGTGCCATTGACTTTATAACTACTATCAATATAAACCTTTTTGAATTTGAGCATTATATAATAATAAAAGAAAATATTTTATAATCTATTTTATAATGCACAAACATAAAAGATGAAATGATGGTATATCATACGAAGCGCCTAACACAAGAAATAAAATTAATGACGAAGTTAGGGAAGAGTTAGCGGGAACCGAAACGTTCTTAACCGATACGCAAGGGTTAAGATTGGCATACGAAAGCCCAGACAGGATTTATAGAAATGGTAGTCAATTATACATAGCGGGAACAAAAGACCCTATTGATTTTTACGATGATTTAAAATTACCTTTTCATCAGACAAG